CCCCAAAACCCCAAAACCCCAAAACCCCAAAACCCCGTAAAAATTAGCAAATATTGAATCTTCTTACTCGAGCTTAAAATCATGAACTGCATCAATAAATACTCTCAATTTTTCAGCATCATGGTCTGGGAGCATTCCCCAGCCAAGATTAGCAACATATTTGGTCTTTCCTGCCTTTTCTAGCATTGAGTTAGTTCTCTCTTTGATCTTCTCATCTGTTCCGAAGAGAACGATTGGTTCCAAATTTCCTTGGAGAGTGATAGATTCTCCAACACGCTCACGGATTTTGGAAAGATCATGAGTCCAATCCACAGAGATAGCATCAAACTTGCTCTTTGTAGCCAATGCCTCGTATCAGAAGTGACATCCTCTGGGAAAAATGAAAGCTGGAACCTCTGGGTATGCCTCTTTTATCTTCTCAGAAATCTCAATTAAGGGATCAAGGATGAACTCTTCAAAATCTTCTTGGGACAACTCTCCGATATTTGACTCAAAGAGCTGAACAAGCTGCGCTCCTGCCTTTATCTGATTAATCATGTGCTCAATGATCATTTTTGTGAGCATTGAGATAAGCCTCTTGAACCCTTCTGGCTTTTCATAGAGCCATCTTTTGGTCTTATGGCATTTATTAGGAGAATTTCCCTCAATCATGTAAGTAGCAAGAGTCCATGGACCACCTGTGAACCCGAAAAGAGGTACTGCTCCATTGATTCTGTGCCTGGTCAGGAAAATAGCATCATATGTCTTGTCTAACTTATCTCCATAGTCAGTTGTCAGTTTATCAAGATCAGCTTCTTCCTGAATCGGCTCAGTGAAGGAAGGTCCAATCCCTGGAGGATATTCCAAATTCATGCCCATGACTTGTGGAAGGATCAAAATATCTGAGAAAATAATAGAAGCATCAAAGTCTAACTTCCTTAATGGTTGGAGAGTTACTTCACATCACTTCTCTGGCATGTGGCAAAACTCGAAGAAGGGAATACCTGCTCTAGCTTCTTTAAACTCTGGAAGATATCTTCCTGCTTGTCTCATTGCCCAGACTGGTATACGTGGGATGGATTTTCCTTGAATGCTATCCAAAATTAGTGAATTCTTCATTGGTGGGAACTTGCTATGATCAAAATCTTCAGTCCTTTCAGGTACTTCAAGTTCTTGACCTTCTAATAAAAGCTGCTGCTTTTCTTCAAATGTAGGAAATTGGCTTTCTGTGGTCTCCATTTTTAATAAAATTTAGTTTCAATGCTACTAATTTCATATGGGGTTTTGGGGTTTTGGGGTTTTGGGGTTTTGGGGTTTTGGGG